GTATTTGTTCACACACTCCGGTAATGATGCGTAGAGCAGGAACTCATGCCTGTGCCATTCAGTAGTATTTAGTAAATTGAACTTTTGTATAAAGGTCTTAGAAAATGGCAAGGCAGAAAGTGAATGTCGTCTTGCTGCTAATTTTATCTTCCACTGCACACTCCTTTCTGGAGATTAAAGCATTATGAATCTATTCACTACTGAAAGTTATTTCGACTTTCATGGTGCATATCAGGATGCAGAAAAGCAAGTACATGTTCACAGCTGTTCCTCAGGTCTCTCTGCTGGAAATACAACCTGTTAAGCTGCTAGATTTCTGCTTAAAATAACTAAAAATAATGAAATAAAACAATTAACTGGTGAATCCTCATTAAAAACAAAAACTGAAATAAATAGTACAGCTAGGTAATTGACTGCATATGTAAACTAGCTGTAGATAATTGACATGACCTTCATTTAATGAGCCTCCTTCCCGTTAGTGAAGATGACAGCCACAATTACGGGCCCTTATTCTAGCTGTAATTGTATGGGCTTTATTGAAGTACAAACTAGGTCACGTCTTCCTGAGACCTGGTCCGTGGTGGGTGACCTCTTTTCATTGCTTCAGCTTTGCTGTGCTGCGTGAGAGAAGGAAGGATGTTCTTGCAGCCATGAGAATGGATGGCGTTCAGGAAACTGGTCTCAAATGTGGTTTCTGATAGAGACGTCTTGCGTGACCTGGGGGAGTAGTTTAAGGCTAGGTCTCAAGGAGGCTAGCATATGCCTATCTTATACAAGTTAGTGGGTGTATACAACAGGGTATGGGACAGCAATCGAACCAAGATGCCCTCTCCTAGAAAAGTGTTTGATCTTTTATGCCCACTGATGTAGCTGAACAGGAAGAGTGCGAAAGGGCTGCAGCCTTTAGCCATTGTTCCTAGAAGGTGAGGAGTAGAGACCTGAATATCCTACAGCTGAGAAGGGAGGGGATGAGTGCATGAAAGGTCTACAGATTGAGGTTGTATCATCAGTGATTTTATTTTGTATTTTTCTAGCTGCCTGTCTGACTAAAAAGTGGCCATGGCTAGTCTGTTTTGTTTGGCTTTCAGTTGTATTGATGCACTCAGAACACATGGTATCAGCCTGGTTGCTCCCGTTAAGAAATACTCAGCACTCATAAGCCTCCATGGGAAATAGTTGCTCAGTCTACCAGGGTAGCATCAGGCGTGGGTGTACACTGAAATGCTGGGGCATCTCCATGTAAGGCCTCATAGTGGTGGACGTGCCCAGCATGGAAAGAGGCAGCACCTTGCTTAGTAGCATGCTGGGAAAACAGGAAAATCCAGCTTTCTCCCATCTTCCCACCCCAGTTCCACTTCTGCGTGCGGTAACATGGTGACTGCCTCGTAATTGGAAGGGTGTATGTAATCTGTTAGTGTTTGGGGTTTACAAGGCACTTACTGTAACAGGACAGGCAGTATCTCTAATCTTTGCAATATAGTGAAGGTTTGATAGTTGGGGAGCAGAGGAAGAGGACTGGAAGCTGCCATCCAAAGTGTTTCCGATGACCTTTTTCTTCCTACATTGGGATATTAGTCCTGCCTCACTAAGTAAGAGATGAACCGTGCGTTCGTGAGTCAGTTCAACGGTAGCTGAAAGGTTGTGTTTCTGCCCGTGGAGTGAGATGTAAATCTTATTCTGCTATAGCGTGTTAAACTAGTAGATTTTGAGCAGCTGCTACTAGAAATTGCTATGGCCTCTAAAATGAAGAAATTTCCTAGGTGTTAAAATATTACTTCCTCATATTAAATCACTTGATACCATTTTGCTGCCAAAGACAAGGACTGTGTATGTTGCTCAAGTCACTGTCAAGATAGAGAGAAGAATCTTTCCACATCCTGCGTGCACAGTTTGGCTTAGTCTGAGACTCCTTTACAAAGAAGTAGATGGTTGATCTGTGTCTGCTCGCTAGGAGTATTCCGTGTGTCTGTGCTGCTAAAGCTTACTTTGACATACTCTTCTACTGTTATAAATGGGAGGAAGAGGGGTGGCTTTCGGTGGGACACATTTTCTTGTGTATTATCAGTATGTTACATGGATAACGGCTGTCTTAAAGTTGTTGGTTTTCAGAGCCTAGTTGTACGTTGTTTCTTGCTACCCCAGATAATAGTGGGGGTTGTATGTCATCAGACGGGATGTAAATCGATCAAGCTTGACAGCAGTTTCCTTCCTAAATGGAAGACAAAATTGATTAAGGAAGGATTAATTTAACGTGAGGTATAAAGTACTGTTAGATCTGGTGACGAACCAGCCATTGGCAGAGGATGCTGAGGGCTTATTGAAGTCAGTTGGTGAGGTTTCTCTGCACCTCTCTGTCCTCCGTCTTTTTGTAAGAAAACAGTCCATGCGAACAAAGTTGCACAGCCACTATTCTATTCATTTCACGTCCCTCCCAAGTTTATTGCTACTATGAGAGGTACACAGCCCAATGACGACAGTGAAGGATGTGGCCTGATCCAGGAATCCTTCTATCCTTTGTCTACCCACTGAACTTGAAAAGCAGATGTTCAGCCTCCAGCTGGTGCACTTAGGTGACGGGTGCAAGCTTCTCTGTTTTGTGCTTGTCTTGGTGCCTCTCGTGTTGTGTCCTCTTTCGCACTGGAAGGCCCAAAGGCCCTTTGGGGGGTACTGTGTGCTCAGACAGAGTCTGTCCTCTGGAGTCAAGATACTGGCTGGGACCTCTGGGCACTACTCTAATAAAAATAGCAGGAACTTGATAAGGAGCCAGAAGATCTGCGTTCTGTTCACTGCTCTGGTGGTCACAGTGTGATGTGGGTGTTTGGGTTTTTTGTTTTTCCTTCTAAGTTTTATATAAAACAAGTCTCAGAAGAGGGAGTGTATGAATATTATTATTTCTGTTGCCTGTTCCACTGGCTCTGCATTTGTATGCTAGCTGAACTGCCCCTTCTTCCTCTTGTCTTGTTTCTCCTTGTTTGATAAAGGAAGACTGATAGCTTTCTTCCTTGTGTTTCAAATCATCTCTGTAGTGTCTGTCGTCCTCCCCTTTGAGGAAGAAATCTGATACTTCTCCCTGTAGAATGTTTTAAAAATCCTAGGATGAAAAAATCTGCAAAATATTAATGTTCTGCATTGCTAGAGCAAACACTATGTTCCTGTGAGTCACAGATGTCAGGTTTGTTTAATCTTAATAAATCTATGCCACAGTAACACTTTTAAACAGGAAGAGAGATGGAGGGATGAAGGAAGAGTTGTGCTGGGGTTGAGAGGATTCTTAGCCAAAATTTTGTTTAGGGGGGGCTGGGGGTGAGGAGGGCATGGACACAAACCCAAACACTTCCCACCCACCCCCCACTTCATTAAGTAAACTTTGAGACCTACGTTTTGGGCACTGCCTTTCTAGTACGTATTTCATTTTCTTTGTATGTTTTATGATAGATTGTCTTTCCATGTTCAAGTCTTAAGAGTACTAGTTTCCCACAGCAAATTTGCAGAAGATGAAGTAAGGCTTTCTACATAGCACCCTGTTGGCAAACAGAAATAGCGTTTACTCCAGTGAGCGCTGCCAAGTATGAGGTACTTCCGAATGAACTTCAAAAGCTCTGAAACAAGCATTAGCTGCTGCTTCAAAAATGTGAACAATGCCATTGCTTTCTAGCAAGCAGAACTGGTGAGAGCAGGGATCGGAAGGAGGAGAAATAACAACTGATGTGATGGATGTTGTAGTAGCACTTGGGATCAGACAGAAAGTATAGCTCTCTGTCACTGCAGGATTTGGGTGGTTCCTGTTGTAATAGTACCTAAAGTATGTACTCTCCGCTTGAGGAGGAAACAATTCCTACCCTGAGGAATGTACGATCTACGGAGACATAGCGAAGCGCTTGGGAAGGAGCATTCATACAAGCCCAAGCTGTTGGGAGTGCTGATGGGAGTGAGTTGTGCTGATTCCAAGCCTGGTGAGGAGTTTTCTTACCGGCACTCTTTCCTGGTACTACCCCTCCATGCTCAGTGAGGACAGAACCAAGCATAACTCATAAGCCTCAAAGCATGGCCCATAACTTCTGCCAGAACTTGGGGCAGAATGAGAGAGAAACAGGCAAACTGCTGTGTTTCGGTGTGGCAGTAGGGCTGGCTGTGTTTCTGGTTTTCATGTTGGTCTCTGGGCTGGAACTGGGTTTAAATAGATGCTTTGCCCACTTGAGAACAGACAGTATGGGGCTCTGGGAAAGTATGGTACAGTGGTTCTGGTACTGTCACTTCAGTATAGCTCTTACCAGCTCTGTCATCCAGCAGGTCCCTTCCATGGCATTCACACGATGCAAGCAGTCTGTCCAGCTCAAATTTAGTATACTGTCCTGGACCATTTTCTTGTCTATATTTACACATACATACCTTCTACTTTTAGAGGAGGAATTGACCTGCTGAGACCTCAGAGTTTGTATGGCCTCTTTCTGTGTTTTGAAGGTTGTTTTCAAAATACAAATGCAATTTATCCTGGTGCTGTTTATTTTGGTTGGGGTTTTTTTTGTGGATAGAACAATGAAATATTTTTGGCAAGGAGAGATCTTAAAAATTAAATACTTGCATTTGCACTTGAAGTCTTGCCTTTCATGCTTGCAAAGCTGCCTTTTACTGCTGAATGTTGCATTGCTAAACAGCAGTTCTGCCTTTGCTGTTACTTGAAATAGATGTAATCAGTCAATAAATAAGGGGTCTGTATAGCATCTAATTTCATACTTACTACAGAAAGACTTTGGCACGCAAGAACTCTGACTTGCTGGTATCAATGATGCCTAAGCTTTGGCATATGCTTTATCTGAAGCTCTAAATCAAAGAACACCCTTGTACAAGAGTATGCTTTATCACCGGTAATGAGTTGCGGCTGCATGCAGCAGATCTCCGCAGAAAATGCATAATGTCTCAGGACAACTGGGGTGAATTTGTATTACTCCATCCCTTGTAAGTTGTTAAATATTTTTTTTTCTTGTTCTTGTCCTTGACAGTTCCACCAAGTGAGAAGAGTGATGACCATCCTTTTCCTTACTATGGTTATCTCATACTTCAGTTGCATGAAAGCTGCCCCGATGAAAGAAGCTAGTGTAAGAGGACAAGGCAGCTTGGCTTACCCAGGTCTTCGGACCCACGGGACTCTGGAGAGCCTAAACGGGCCCAGTGCTGGTTCAAGAGGACTGACATCGCTGGCGGACACTTTTGAACATGTCATAGAGGAGCTTCTGGATGAGGACCAGGACATCCAGCCCAGCGAGGAAAACAAGGATGCAGACTTGTACACATCCCGAGTCATGCTAAGCAGTCAAGTGCCTTTGGAACCCCCGCTGCTCTTTCTGCTCGAGGAGTACAAAAACTACTTGGATGCTGCAAACATGTCCATGAGGGTCCGGCGCCACTCTGACCCAGCTCGCCGCGGGGAACTGAGCGTATGTGACAGCACGAGCGAGTGGGTGACGGCGGCGGAGAAAAAGACTGCAGTGGACATGTCCGGGGCGACCGTCACAGTCCTGGAAAAAGTCCCAGTACCCAAAGGCCAACTGAAGCAATACTTCTATGAGACCAAATGCAACCCCAAGGGGTACACAAAGGAGGGCTGCAGGGGCATAGACAAGAGGCACTGGAACTCCCAGTGCCGAACTACCCAGTCTTACGTGAGAGCTCTCACCATGGATAATAAAAAGAGAGTTGGCTGGCGCTTTATAAGGATAGACACTTCCTGTGTATGTACATTAACCATTAAAAGGGGAAGATAGTGGATTTGTGTTGTATAGATTATATTGAGACAAAATTATCTATTTGTATATATACATAACAGGGTAAATTATTCGGTAAAAAATAATTTTATGGACTGCATGTATAACTGAAGTTTATACAGTACAGTGGTTCCACAATCTATTTATTGAACATATCCATGACCTGAAGGGGAACAAAAGTCATTTGCGCACAAGTTGAAAAAAAAACAAAAAAAAAACAAACAAAAAAAAAAACAAACAAAAAAAACCCACAAAAAAAAAAGAAAAACAAGCGAACAAAAAGTCTGCATTACATTCCTCGATAACGTTGTGGTTTGTCGCCGTTGCCAAGAATTGAAAATATAAAAAGTTAAAAAAAAAAATAAAATTGCATGCTGCTTCAATTGTGAATTGATGATAAACTGTCCTCTTTCAGAAAAATAAATTGAACCAAAACATTCCGTTTACATTTTAGACAGTAAGTATCTTTATTCCTGTTAGTATTATATCTGTTTACTGCTTTTAACTTCTGATAGCGTTGGAATTAAAACAATGTCAAGGTGCTGTTGTCATAGTTTTACTGTTTCTCTTTTACTTTTGAACTCCCGTCAGATTGAAAAAGGAAAAAAAAAAAATCATTACCTTATTCTGGATTAAAAACAAATTTGGGTTTTTTGTATGTTGTGAAGGTGTTTGCAATAGCAATCCAACTACTGACAAAAAAAAATAAAAAAAAGAGGCAACTGAAAAAGAATGGTGATGTTCCACTTCACATTCTTGAACTTTAGGCTTAAAGACAGCACTTATTTAACTGTATGGCAACATGCTTTTTTTGGGTTATTTTCTTTTTTTTATTATTTTTTCATTTTATTTGCTGTCTTTTGGGACCTGCATTTGTTTATACCATGTTTGTTTGTGTTTGGGGTTTTTTTTGTTTTTCCTTTCCTCCCTCTGGAAGGATGTTGGTTGTGATCTTTAAAGTATTTCACTTACCATACAACTGGAGCTTGTCATATAGGACATAGAGTGTTGAGAGCAATGATTTTATGTAATAAAAGACTCTGTGCTTGGATCAAATGTCTTGGTGAAGCACAAGAAGAATGTCACTAGAAAAAGGGTCTGGAAGGACGATAGTGGATCTGAAATCAGGTTGGTCGTGGGACTGCATAGCTCAGCCAGTTCAGGGACAAATGGCAGTGTTGTGGGTGGACTTGAGGCTATCCAAATTGCAGTCAGCACTGAACGTGGTCCTGCGCGTCGACCTTTGCCTTGTACGACGCTGCCCTTCCCCTCGGCCCCCGGCCTGCGACGCACGGTGTGCGAGCTGCAGCGGCATCCCTGCCCGCAGGAGCCCTGGGAATTCGCTGGGGAGCGAGGCGGAAGGAAGCCCTGCCTCGAGCTGAAAGCAATTAGCATTTACGTTCGTGTGGCTCTACCTCCGCTGTCAGCCTTATTTTATGAAACAAATAGTGGCATAAAATAATACTCTTGAAGTAAGCGAAGAGCAAGTGCTGGAGGAGTTGGCTTAACGTTGCTTAGGTTCTGACAGATGGATTTAACCCTGCGCTACCCCTCTAACTATCTTGGCAAGTATTTCTAAAGAGGCAGGTTGTAAGTCTGAGAGCTGTGCATAGCACTTTGCATTGACTACAGTGGGCAGAGAGGCAGAAATAGCTCACTAGTGAGCTCACTGAAGGCAGATGCTATATTTGTAATTCCTGTAGATGAAGAAAAGTAGCTGAACAAAGAGGAAAATACTGCAAAGTAGAATTACTTGTGAATGCTGCAGAATCTGCGTTTGTCTGCCTTGCTGTTGAAGTTAATTAAAAACCTGAACTGGGCAAAGCTTATTTGAAATGTGATTCCCCCGCAATAATTCTCTTTTGAAGAGCATATTTAATGCTGAGTTTGTCATTACTGGTAGAAGCCCATGCTGGAAGCTAAGAGAGACACATTCAAAATCAGTGATTTCTTCTACTTAGGGTGGAAGGGCTTCCCCTTCTCTAGGATAACTGGCTGTCGAAGGAGAACCATCCCGACTGCACACTGAAACTCTTTTGCGTTGGCCATGCGCACGCTGGACCGTGAGTGAGAAGAGAGGGTTGTGTGACCCACCCCCAACTTCACGCTTCAGCCTTCCCAATCAATTGCAGATATTCAGGCTCCCACATAGAAATCAGAAATGAAAAAAAACTTACTGAAATGTCTCAAAACGCCAACTGAAGTGTTCTTCATGCAAATTAAATGTTGGTCTAATGGAGAATTTCATTCCACTCTGGCCAGTACCTGTATGTGTATTATAATTCTTTGCATTTAATAACCCAAACGTGGCTCAGGAGGTATTCTCAGCAATATTCCTAAACTACAGCAGAGGCATGGTGTAATGGTGGCTCCCCTGAAAACCAGGGTCGGTTGCTTAGGAAGGGGAAAGGGTGATGCTAATGAGTGAATAATGAACAGATCCCTCATCTAGACTGGAAAAAGAAATAATAGCTAGGACATGACAGTAATCTAATTCCGATACAGGAATAAAATAATTCCCCGTTCAAATAAATTGAATTTCCCAACGAGAAGCGTTAATGTATAAGTCATGCTAGAAATGAAGTTCCTCATTTCCCAAAGTTAATTACGGCTATATCCTTAACTCGGAAATCCTCACGTGTCGTAGGTAAGGGTGGCACTGGTGTGGCAGAATTAAAACAGTGGGCTGGTAGGTTCGGAGGGGTAAAGGGCAGCCCGTGCGGCCGGGGGCACTATGGGATGGAGCTGAGAACCTACAGAAGAACCGTGTCCTGTAACTACATCTAGAGTGATATTCCCCGTAATACGCCTGTTGATATGACATGAAACTGGCAATTAAACTGCGGTCCCATGGCTCTCGCCCGCGTGGCCTAATACATCCATGAGCACAGGCTTGGCCGTTTTAGTTAAAACAGAGATGGGGAGGGAGGGGTGTTGGTTTTCTTTCGTGTCACTTAATTAAACTCTTGCTGTGGTCTGTTTGTGACAAAGGTATATCATGCATGTCAGCAGGCCTAGTGCTGTGTTAAAGTAAAGACTTGCAACTGTAAGTTAATGTCTGTGGCCTTGTTCTCTATTATTCACCTTGTGTAACATAAATATTTATTGTATATTTATATAATTTTATGTTTTTTGGGAAAAACTGAAATTGGCATTAAAATTTAAAAGCAACTGCGTCATATTGTAAATATAATTAAGCTATATTTAAGTGTACTGATTAACATAATATATGTTTAACTATAGAGTTTTTTATGTTTTTAAATATATTTTCAAAATATATATATAAAACTTGGGGTTTTTTGGGGGACCATGTGACTCTTTTCTCTAATTGTAAAACAAACTTGAGTTTTACTATAAAGATGTGTGTTCTTTGTTTTAAAACAATTTTTACTTTATTTTAGCAATAAAATCTCACTCGGAGGGCAGACAGCCCCCTGTTTCATAGCCGGACAGTTAGCATTGGGAGGGGAGGGGTGGCAAGAATTTACTTTCCATAGAAGTTGGGGACACTTGCAGAATGATGTCTTTCCATTTAATTCTAGCACATAAGTCCTCACGAGACTAAAAACCCATGAATGACACATATCAATGATTTTATTATAATGAGTGCGATGGAAGTGAGGGGGAGGGGTTACTAACCTTAGTAACTAAGGGATAAGTGAGACAAACTCAATAGCTATAGTCCAGTCATGTACCTGATTTTTAAATGGTGTCTTGTATATTTATATCCCCTGCACTGAACTTATTTATGACCCCACAGAGTACCAGGGGTGGAATTCCTTGGATTTAACATATTGTTAGCATTTCTGAAATAATATTTTCTACTACAACTGCCAAGCCTTTGTATATTTAATTATCCCATAGCCCTAGAACAATCAATAAATCCTCATGATGAATAGAAAGCTTTCATATAACTTAAGGGGGGAAAAAAAAGCACAAAACCAAACTCTTAAAAAATTCTATTGCTGCGAATTTCCCAGGAGCCCAGCGCCAGCAACGTCTCCGCAAGAACCGAGGAAACGGTGCTTCAGCAGAATCTCATTTATATTAAACGCACATGCATGTGCACTGCTTGCTTTATTGTTGCCTTAAAAAAAGCTAACGGAAGCAGGAACAGATACTAAAACCTTTGGCGTATGGAAGAACGGGGCCGCGTTATTGCCGCGCCGTGCGCCCGCTCCTGGCTGCGGGAGCCGGCTCCGCTCGGACCCTGCCTCCTCCCCTAGGTGGGACAGAGGTGGGCGAGGTTGCTTGAGCTTGTGAAATATATAGTAAATATATGGCATAGATACCTAGGGAAAGAAATGGTCACGCTCAAAAGAATACGTATTTGAACTACAGAGGAAGATACGGGAGCTAACCCTGCGTCCGTACGCTCTACTGAATCCTAGCTCCGTAGGGGGAAAGAAAGATGTTTCCATAGCTTTTATCACTTGGAGCAGAAATAAAGGCATATAGCTAGACTTTTAAATTACTCAGCCAGAAAACAATAGCAAGCAGTAAAGGAAGATTTTTTGAAGAGAATATCAAGGCTGCAGTGAAGTGCAATGAGAGGGGGAGGACGTTTATTTCAGTTTGTCCCGTGTGGTTCCAATACACTGCTTCCAACAGGCTCCTCCTCGTAATTAAGATCTCATTGAGAAGACACCTTCTGGCAGGGCAATTAAAATGAAAAAGGAAGGGATGCACTCGTTTGGAGCAAATATAAACAGGCCTCACTTTATAAAGCAATTTTAAAGTTAAGGAGGTTCTGTAGGGGGGTGTTTTGGAAGAGGAGAAGGTTTTTCTGAATTTTTTTTTTTTTAACCACTTGCTACCGTTTTGGGTAGTCAAAGACTGTGGCGTTGGTATAAATCAATGGAGTTAAACTTATAGCTTTTTTTGATGCCTGGGAGAGAAGAAGGCCTGGACATGGCATGAGTGGGTCTAACTTCTTCAGGCAAGATTTGGATTCACCTGTGGAATTTGAGATGCTTCTGGAAATCAAGCCTTTTAAATCTCATCCTGTTAGACGGCGGTAGAAAGCACTCAGAGGTAAGCTGCTCTTTGCTACGCCGAAACTCTGTTGAGGGGAAGAACACGTAGCTGCTGGTTTTTTGCTTTGCTGCGCAAGAGTGAGTCTCTAAAACCTTCCTGCAACCCGCTCAGTTCTCTCGGGGGTCCATGCTGAAGTCACAGACACGTATATGTATTTACCTAGATGTGAAATAGCTACTGGTGGTGCTGGTTTGTCTCCGTTGGGCAGGCTGGTGCTGTGTTGTCGACTCTGTAGGATTGCAGCCACCCCACCCGTTGCTGCAGGTCCCTGCTCCGTAGGAATAACCTGCAGAAGGAACCGAGGGGTGGCAATTCCCAGTAATTCCCCAGTGCCCGGGAGGGCCACGCAGGCAGCGAGGGCTTCCCTGCTGCTGGGAGCCCTCCGCCGCGCCGGCTCGCAGCAGACGCCGCCGATCTCATCGGCGCAACCGGTGCCGGTTTGCTCACGCAGGGATTTTTAGGAGATGAGGGGGAGGATTTGGCACAGGGCTGCAAGGCTTCTCGTCTAAATCCCTCCTTTCTGCCTCTGCCAGCTGGGCAAAGCACCCGTGGCAGTGGGGAGAGGCAGGGAGCTGCCTTTAGCCCCCGCCGTGGCGAGGGGACGCTGCGGTGGGCTCTCCTGCCCGCCGCCCTGGGACTGGTAGCACCTTGCAACTGGACGAGGCTGTGACTGGGCTCGGAGACCCT